CCTACAGCGGTGTGACCAAAGGTTGTGCGTCGAGGCTAAAGGACTGCGGGTCGTGGCTAATGCATTGCGGGTTTTGGCTAAAGGAACGTAGGTCAAGGCTAAAGGATTGCGGGTTTTGGCTAAAGCTTGATGGGAAAAAGTCTAGTGGATTCGGATACTCATCATCATCCATTTGCTTCGAACCTGAAAAGAATCAGTGTATCGGGTTTTATCAAGTGCTGTAACGCAGGGTGGGTTTACATGCAATAATAATAGGCGTTGTCAGGCTACTGATCAGTTATCGGATGCATATTTATGTTAACCAGAAATGGTGTAACTCAATGCTATCGTCGAGTTTTTCTCGGTTCTCTCATCCATCCACCCCCGCCCGGGACGCACTGTTGACTGTTACCGAGTTACAATACGCACGCAACAGCTCTAGTCGCTCGCGGATAAGCTGGCGGGGTTCGTGTGTCATATTCATCATTTAGGATGGATATTAGGTCACTTCTGTTTTTAGGTTATCCAACGTGTTTATAAACTTATCCACAAACAGGCTTACCCACTTACAGTCTCAAATTAGTGACCGTAGCTATGATCCACATTAACCTGCATTGGTGTTTAAACGGTAGTCTTCGTCGAACTATTATCGCCCACATAATCGCGTTTAGCTGGTCAAATGCGGTCATCCTGTGCCCGTTATATTTCCCCATCCTGGTTTTTTGCCTTCGTTATCCAAGTGTATTTTTTCGGATGCGTCGGTCCCTGTCGTGTCCGGACTCTCTCTCTCTCAGGCTTATTTAGGTGAAAAATAGCTCATTCCAGGTGAATAACAGGCACACGGGTGTTGAATGATGACTGTGGTGTTCTCGTTTCTCGGGTCAGATGTGTAACGGGCGGGGTTTCTGGTCTACAACTCACAAATCGACATCCGTACACGTTTGCATGCGTGTGTAGACTACCAGTTCATCCCTGTCTTCTCTCTCTTTCTCGATGTCCTGTTACCCTGGTTAGACCAAGCCGCCGGTCGACGGCAGAATACAAAAACAGCTGACTAATACTCTTATCTCGGCTACCGTCGTTGCTTTGTTTAGATTTAAACCAATCAGGTTAGTGTTTACAGATGCACGCACATTCGTGTGCGTATGCATGTGTGCCCTCACCCTCTGGATTTGCCATCTTACGTCCTGTCTTCCCTCTCTCTCTTAATCTACCTCTCTGTCCACCTATCGATCCACCCGCTTGTTCTTCCGTCCGTCCGTCCGTCCGTTCGACCGACCGTCTGTCCATACACTCATCTATCCATGGGAACACCGCGTTGTCCAGGCCCGAAGTCCGTTAGAACAGCTGGAATTGATTCTCAACTTGACCGGCAGCCCAAGTCCTGGCGATTTGGAACACTGCCACCCGGATGCTTGTGCTTTTGTCCTGTCCGCACGGTCACGTCACGCGAACACTTCGATGCTGCACGCCCTATCACCTGATGTGGACGAGATGACGGTCCATCTCCTGAGTAGTATGCTCAAATTCAATCCGGTGAGTGCCCAACAGTTTGATAGCTGTTCCTCCGAAAGCCACGTCACAATTCAGTCCCAATAAATGTGATTCGGAGTTTAGTAGACCCCTTTTTCATTACAGCACGAACCCTCGGTATAACCCTAGTTAACTTTGTTCTTTCCCTGAAAGTTAACGTACATGCAGTTAAATCATTCGGTGACAAGAGCTAGTGTAATTAAGCATAGTTTACTCATTGCAAGTTCTAGAATTGTCAGAAAAAACGGTTCTAGGTTGAACATTCATCTCGGAAACAGAATTTGAAACTTACTGACCACCTCAAAAAACTGCATGATAATTAGTACTGTTAGGTCTAAAAGCAAGGAATGCAGATGGATAATGTCCACGCCCCTGGAATACTATTACCTTGACGTGCAACGAAATAATTATAGAAACAACTGCTGCAATGTGGTTTTGCACTGTTCGAGTATTTTTTTCGCGAAAGAAATCCCTTCATAGGTGACTCACTGTTCAAGGTTACATTGTTATGTTGCATGAAAGGTAATTCACTATTACATCATCAATCATTTGCAGCTTCCTAACTGACGTTATTTTCTATCTGCTCTGCGCCCAGCATAAACGCATCTCCGCAACCGATGCATTAAACCACCCGTTCCTCGAAGAGGCTCGTTTGCGTTACCATTCATGTATGTGTTCCTGTTGTCACGACGTGGTGCCCAAAACATCAAATGGTCTGGATACATCTGAACTGACCGGAGCATTCTGTCGCGCACCCTCACCTTCCACATCGTCTTGCGCTTCCTCGACCCCATCCACGGATTCTGCGCCCAGTACGCCGGGAAAATTCAGTTCACGTTACGAAGCGAAAACAGCGGCCAACGCACTTCTGTCTAGCTCGTGTAGCACATCGTCCGGGTCCAGTACTGTGGCACGGCGGCGGTATTGTCGTGATCTGGATCCGGTTTGTCCCATTCTACTCCCCCTCAACTTAGACGCCGGTTTGCGTCAGATGTCAGATCCGAAGGGTGAGTGCCATGTGCTCCCGGCTGTTCTCCATAGTTTGCCCCCGGTTTTGGATCATTTCCGTCACGCGTGCGCACGCACTTACTCACGCGTGCACTGCCCCTCTCCCTTTTCTGGTTGCATTCGCATTTCAAGTTGCACTACTTTCGTCCCGAACTGGGTTCATCGTCGAGGCGGGCTAGGTAAACTTATGCTATGTTTACGGGGCTAAAGATCCATTCAAATTATTGGCTTCCTTTTCTAGGGTTACCAAATTCATTTTTCACATTGTTTTTGGTTTTCCATGTTTACTCGATGACAAATTCGTCTATTGATGGACAGAAACCATGACAAATAATAAGGCGTTCGACGTCAATCAAAAGCTAATCCAACCCAGCATGCAGTCTATATTCACGTGCTCAAGCCATGTTGCAAGTGACCTGACACGACTGCTTATGGTCACTACCATTCCTGTCCTCTCTGCTGTTTGTTATTGCTGCTGTTGTATTACTCACATTCAGTTTCCCACACCCAGCCTTTTTGCTTAATTGCAATATTTGGTTTGTTGGACCAACTGCAATCTAACAGCTGGCCCATTTTTGTGTTCTAAGTATAGGCTGTCAGTGTGTGAAACAAGCCAAGTTGCAACAGTTGGCCTAAAGGACGCTTCTGTTTACGTTGATGGGACACTTGGGCAGGTGGAGAGGACAGAGTAAATGTCAGAAACTGAGGGTAACTCAGATGATAATCCATTATACTTTCTGGAATCCCTCGGCCGCACATGTGATTGTGTCGAGCGACGAAACGGGTGCAAAATTAGTCAGTTTGTTACATGAGCCTCCATCGTCGAACCTTATAATCAATTGGCATGTGTTTGTTCTGGAATCAGGGTTGTATACATTATTCCTGTTTCTGTCCTTGCCATAGACCTTAATACCTTCCGTCATCGGAGACTTTATCCTCTCCAGTGAGTACATCACTCACTGCAATTGATACCCAAGGGGTACCTATCCTCTCTCTCTCTCATGGATTGCATTAAAGTAAAACACACCGTGCTCAGACTGGAGACAACTTGAGTATAAACTGGATAAACCGTTTATGTATTTAGACTCGAGAGATCAGTCAGTCAGTCAGCTGCAGTCAGTCAGTCAGTCAGTCAGTCAATGAGCTGCAGTCAGTCAATCAGTCAGTCAGTCAGTCAGCTGCAGTCAGTCAGTCAGTCAGTCAGCCACAGTCAGTCAGTCAGTCAGCTGCAGTCAGTCAGTCAGTCAGTCAGTCAG